GCTACAAAATTCTAAATTCAAGTTGTTTATTTGATAATTTTGGTCAAAGTGGACGTAATTTCTAATTGGCAGCAAAGTCTTAATCACAATTGTAGAAAAATTCTGAAAATGAATGGCGACAAAAGGTAAATGAAATGAGAATTGTCCATTTTAATCAGTTAATTTGCATAATTAATGAATCATGTCAGGTTAATTATAGGGAGATGTGTACTTTTGCAAGCCATGTCAAAGTCATACTATTAATAATATCAAGCATGTATGAAAAATGTTGGTAGTCAGTCTAAATCACTGATGGTTGCAAAACTTTTTGAATCTGAAAAACAATTCATGAGCATTAAGTTACATTGGCTCAATAATTGAATATGGTCAAATTTGGTACAAGTCATTGGTGTAGACTTTCTAAGCTCCCACAAATTTAAACATTTAAGTGATATTCCTACACATATCACATGTTACTCCAGACTTTGCAATAAACATATCTCTGTAGGGTATGATTTTTAAAGCCCCAGTTGTCAAGTGTTTAAAGTTGCATAAAGAACATATATTTTTCAATATTGCTGTTTGATACACCATACTGTAGACTAAAAATGATGTTTGCAGGACACAAAACAGTAATCATCAAAATAATAATATGTACATGTAGTGAGTATTTGAACTTTTTCATCACCAGTTCCCTCTTTTCATCACCAGTTCCCTCTTTTCATCACCAGTTCCCTCTTTTCATCACCAGTTCCCTCTTTTCATCACCAGTTCCCTCTTTTCATCACCAGTTACCTCTTTTCATCACCAGTTACCTCTTTTCATCACAAAATAGTCTGATTTATAGTCTGCACTTTCCTTCAGAAGATTCGGACAAAAATAGACAAATGTTTTTGAGTGAAAATTTACTCAAATTTTCTCTGCTGGCCTCAAAATTAAGGTTCATTTCCAGAAATATTGAAGAATATAAAGGTTAAGTACTAAAACCAGTGTATATGTATATTAGAGAATTTTATCAAATGAACGTTTAGATGTGTGCTACAAAACAGTTTTAGTCATGACAAATCATAATACAATGTAAAAGTATTTTACATATGTTGCATGGAATCTACCATATTTGCTATATTAGAAGTACATTTCCAATATATAAAACAAAAATCACATTTGTTGTATACTAAATCATAAAAATATTACTTAATTTGACCATAGAAATGCGTCTAATTTATGCCAGTGCATAATAGAACAAATACTATATGCACACATAAACTACCATTTATATTTACTGTACGCTGAATCATAAACACAGGACTTATTTTACTCATAAAAATAATTGTCATTTACTCTATATCAAACATGTCAGTGTCATGACTGTGTTGCTTTAATATTGATTCAGGAGCACTAGATAAAGATAAAAAAAAATAGTTGTAAATTATTCTTATTGACTATGCAAATGAGCATAATGTTTTACAATATCTATATTACACAACATTTTAATCTTAAGTATGTTTTCTATTTTTCTCTATGATATCAAAAAGCCAATTGTAGCAACTGTTATCTGCTGTTTGTGAAATAAGTAATAGAGGGGTAGAGATGTGGAATTTCTGTCTGCTTTGATTTCACTTCCTTCATGAAATGCGACTTAGAATCGGAAACTGGGGACAACCAGAAAACGTGTCCTTTAATGTTTTCGCTATGAATGTCAGTCTGGCATGAACCCAGTGTAAATCCCTGTAGAACCGCAGCGAGTCAATATCTACTTCCATATCAATGTTAATACAGAAGTTGATATTTAAATCTTGTATGCGATTTCCTACATGAAACTTTAATTTTTTGATTTCTGATATAACAAACCAGTGTTTGTTCTAGGATTTTATAATGCAACATGGTTGATCTTAGTAGTGATTTATTATTATTCCTTCCTTCTACTTTTCTCTGAGTCTTCTTACTATAATACTTTTATTACTACTTCCATTATTATGTCTACGTCCTCAGGGTTTGATCCTACACTGTAACTTCTGACTCTGATATGAAATGTGCGAGATTGTGTTTTTCTATGCAAACATTAGTGATTGGTATTTTGTGACAATTCAGTCTGCACACAAAATTATTAGTTCATCACCAGAATAGTTGTGTGTCACTCAATATAGGATGCCAGTCTGTACCAGAAGGCAGTACATTGTGTACCACCAACCACACTGATACAAGGCACCAACCATGCAATGGTATCACTTGGGTACTATGCCAATGCATTGAGTGTACCACAAACCACACTGATACAAAGCACCCAGTGGCAGTACATTGTGTACCACCCAATGGCAGTACATTGTGTACCACCAACCACACTGATACAAGGCACCCAGTGGCAGTACATTGTGTACCACCAACCACACTGATACAAGGCACCCAGTGGCAGTACATTGTGTACCACCAACCACATGATACAAGGCACCCAGTGGCAGTACATTGTGTACCACCAACCACACTGATACAAGGCACCCAGTGGCAGTACATTGTGTACCACAACCACACTGATACAATGCACCCAATGGCAGTGCTTTGAGTGTACCACCAACCACACTGATACAATGCACCCAATGGCAGTACATTGTGTACCACCAACCACACTGATACAAAGCACCCAGTGGCAGTACATTGTGTACCACAACCACACTGATACAAAGCACCCAGTGGCAGTACATTGAGTGTATGACCAACCACACTGATACAAGGCACCCAATGGCAGTGCTTTGAGTGTACCACCAACCACACTGATACAAGGCACCCAGTGGCAGTACATTGTGTACCACCAACAACACTGATACAAGGTACCCACTGGCAGTATATTGTGTACCATCAACCACACTGATACAAGGCACCCAGTGGCAGTACATTGTGTACCACCAACACACTGATACAAGGTACCCACTGGCAGTACATTGTGTACCATCAACCACACTGATACAAGGTACCCAGTGGCAGTACATTGTGTACCACAACCACACTGATACAAGGCACCCAATGGCAGTGCTTTGAGTATACCACGAACCACACTGATACAAGGCACCCAATGGCAGTACATTGTGTACCACCAACCACACTGATACAAGGCACCCAGTGGCAGTACATTGTGTACCACAACCACACTGATACAAGGCACCCAATGGCAGTGCTTTGAGTGTACCACCAACCACACTGATACAAGGCACCCAGTGGCAGTACATTGTGTACCACAACCACACTGATACAAGGCACCCAATGGCAGTGCTTTGAGTGTACCACCAACCACACTGATACAAGGCACCCAGTGGCAGTACATTGTGTACCACCAACCACACTGATACAAGGCACCCAGTGGCAGTACATTGTGTACCATCAATCACACTGATACAAGGCACCCAGTGGCAGTACATTGTGTACCACCAACCACACTGATACAAGGCACCCAGTGGCAGTACATTGTGTACCACCAACCACACTGATACAAGGCACCCAATGGCAGTACATTGTGTACCACAAACCACACTGATACACGGCACCCAGTGGCAGTACATTGTGTACCACCAACCACACTAATACAAGGTACCCAGTGGCAGTACATTGTGTACCATCAATCACACTGATACAAGGTACCCAGTGGCAGTACATTGTGTACCACCAACCACACTGATACAAGGTACCCACTGGCAGTACATTGTGTACCATAAGCCACACTGATACAAGGTACCCAGTGGCAGTACATTGTGTACCATCAACCACATTGTGTACCACCAACCACACTGATACAAGGCACCCAATGGCAGTGCTTTGAGTGTACCACCAACCACACTGATACAAGGCACCCAGTGGCAGTACATTGTGTACCATCAACCACACTGATACAAGGCACCCAATGGCAGTACATTGTGTACCACAAACCACACTGATACACAGCACCCAGTGGCAGTACATTGTGTACCACCAACCACACTGATACAAGGTACCCAGTGGCAGTACAATGTGTACCACCAACCACATTGTGTACCACCAACCACACTGATACAAGGTACCCAGTGGCAGTACATTGTGTACCATCAACCACACTGATACAAGGCACCCAATGGCAGTGCTTTGAGTGTACCACCAACCACACTGATACAAGGCACCCAGTGGCAGTACATTGTGTACCACCAACCACACTGATACAAAGCACCCAGTGGCAGTACATTGTGTACCACAAACCACACTGATACAAGGCACCCAGTGGCAGTACATTGTGTACCACCAACCACACTGATACAAGGCACCCAGTGGCAGTACATTGTGTACCACCAACCACACTGATACAAGGTACCCAGTGGCAGTACATTGTGTACCATCAATCACATTGTGTACCACCAACCACACTGATACAAAGGTACCCAGTGGCAGTACATTGTGTACCACCAACCACACTGATACAAAGCACCCAATGGCAGTACATTGAGTGTACCACGCACCACACTGATGGAAGGCACCCAATGGCAGTGCATTGAGTGTACCACCAACCACAGATACAAGGTACCCACTGGCAGTGCATTGAATGTACCATGCCATATCTCACTTCTGTACTACACCAATGGCAGTGTACAAATTAAACAGATTTGTGAGTGTTCATACCCATCCACCATACTAAGAACACCAACACATCAGGGGTCATTTTTACAACAGTGATATTTATTGGCCATGTTTTCCAAATTATGTATGAAAAACTTTCAGAAAACCAACATTTATTGGCATCAAATTCTCAGCTTTGTGAACGCTTTATTGCAAAAAAAGAAATGGACCAATTAATCTTGTATTGCATTTGTACTATATAACTATGTATATATCATTGGCTGCTATGGCAACAACACACCTGAGAATTTCAATCCATGGCAGCGATGTGTTGACCTTAAATCTTGAAACATTCATTTCATTTCTCTTTCAAACTTGTATGATTGCAAGGATTAAATAAAAGTTTTTTTTTTTTCACTGTCACATATTTTGTGTATCATGTTTTGTACATTTCAAAGACAGAAAGAAAAGTTCATCATTGAGTGTGTGTTAGACATCTTTTTGAACATTGCATAAATAAAAGCATTATTGTGACTTGTCAGAGCCTGTAATGGCATTCTCCACTGATAAAATGCAGCAATGGGCATCATAGACGAAGTTTACAAAGTACAATCACTAAATGGTTTAAGTCATCATTTTTGACTTTCTGACAAGTGAAGGCGACATACTAACTTCCCATTTGAAGAAAGCACATGCTTTGCCATTATTAGTCCGTCCAGAATGGCAAGAAAAGAATCCTCTACCCTGATTAGGTCCTGGATTGATGACAGTTCTTCGTTTAGCTCGCCGTCCACAGCGACATAGCGGTGGTGTAATTCTGCCAATTAACATATCGGGTGTACTAAACCGAGAAAATGGCGTTTTTAATTCGACCTTAAATCTAGATGGTACAGTCGGGGTCTTGAAACGATCTTTTGAAGGAACAACATTGTTGCTGTGATTAGAATTTGTTCTCCTCGATGACCAGGCTATTCCAGTTTTTACCTTACCATCCATTGCTGGGAGACAGTTGGAATATTCAACTTGATCTCGTCGTAGCATCTGCGAAGTGGTGACCACCTCAGACAGCAATTCGCAGGCGTTCACAGCGTTCTTTGTCGACACAGTAGGATTATCTAGTTTACCATTACACTTTGAAAACAATGTTTGTGGAACTGAATTGTTGGGTCCCAATGTAGTTTTCAGCGGCACTAAAGTCCTGTCATTATTTGTGGGCATTCCTTTCCTGGTCTGAACAGTCACACTAGGCTCTACACACTCAACTCCATTTCTGTTATCCACATAGGAGCTGGATATTTCTTCCAAACCTAAAACTGGTTTGTAATTCTCAGAATTTGGGCATATTTTAATCTTTGTCAGTGATTTTCTGATACCAGCTGACATGGAATACACTTTACTATTCAAACAGACATGAGGAGCCATAGTCACATGACTATTAGTTACTTTACTGGATTGAATTGAGGGCGCTTTCCCAATATTCTTCGGTTTCTGATGCTGAAAAACAAAAAATATATCAAATAATAATTAGTTTATTGCATGCTTAGAAATAGTTTCCATTGGTTGACAGCAATAAAATGTTAGTAATTAAGTACAATACATGTAAAATGTCAGTGTTATTGTTATTTTTGATTTCAAATATTTTGTATTCACCAACTTGTCTTATTGCGTCTTCTCTTGAACTCATAATATATTTAAATATCTGGACATCACTTATCAAATGTTATTTGTAGATGCATTAATATCACAATATAGTTTTTTTTAGAAGTTTAATCATTAATTCATTAACAAATTACAATAACAATTATAAAAATTGATTTGAATACATAAAGATACTTTTTTTTTATAAATACATAATAAATACAATATTAAAAATATGTGCAGTCAATTAGAAAATAACATCACTATGACAACTAAGGAAGGTAATGGGTCATGCTTGCTTTGACATGTTATTTCATGACAGCGTATGTACTGACCATAGGATTAGGCAATGATTTGGTTATTTTCATATTACATCCATCTGTAATCATCCTCCAAGCTAGTTTGGCAGTGTTCCGGGCATCATCCAAACCTATAACATACAATTACTTATTATTAATGTAGATACATTTCCCTAACCAGAAATGTTTCCTATTTCAAATCTTTACAACCTCTTGCCTAAAAATCCCAATAAAATTGTTGCAGTCTTGGAGGCTTACTTTCAATAGATTGCAGCGATATTGGGATAACAGTAAAGTGAGAAAAGACCTAATAAGAATTCAATATGTAAATCTATCATTTGTCAACAATTTCTGTAGAATTTCTTTTAGATTTGTATTCTCACCAGAGTGCTGTCTTCCAGCAAAGTGAATTCCAAGGTCTTGCAACGCACCATTTAAACCATTGGGTTTTTTACTGTAAAATGACTGAAATATAATACAAACATATTACCGTAAAATACTTTATTTTACACTTAGAATTTATTTTTCGCTGAAAGATTGATTTAGTGAAAATAAAATCCATTGATATACCTGTACCAACATATTACATTCTACTTATCAAAAGCAGCAGTTGATATGTTAAAGACCTTCACAAAGTGACATAGATACTGAGAATTATAAAGGGGTGGCTATACTAATTCAGGATGCTACTGAGTTCAATTTGTATTTATATAAAGTTATAATCACTGGATTTTTTTTTTACTCAACCATCACTTCAGTGAAAATGGTGAAAATAAATTGAGAGCGAAAATACTTATTTTCTAAGACTAAATCGTAATTGGCAGGAGTTTTTTTTCAGTTGTCTGTGCTTGAATTTGCAGATATTTTTAAGAAAATCTTGATACTTGTGCAAGTAACCATTATAAATTTGGCATACATTCAATGCTGCGATATTCAGAGTTGTACATTGCTGACAAAAACAGTGAGATATGTAGGTTCCTATCAGAAGTGTTGACTATGCTGATTAGGTATATGATCGTCTTTGTTCTAGGTTCATTATATACCGTATTACCCCGGGCACACGCCCCTCCCTGGGCAAGCGCCCACCCCCCTGTTTTCACAAAAGTTACATGTTGGGGACATCCTCGGTTAAACGCCCAGAGTGATTTTTAGCCAAGAATGGGGTCAACAATAAAGTTTTACTTGTCAAAAAGGATATAGTGTGTTTGTTACGGTAGTTCTCTTTTTGGAATGTGTGGTGGCCCTGAAAGGGCCGTTTTGTTTGTGTTTTTACGTAAAAACTCATTGGAACTTAACGACGTAAGATGAACCACGCAGCATGTTGGCGCACACGTTCCGCTTTCTCTTCCTTCACGATGAATCCAATATTGCAACGATCCATACCTTGGTGAGTGGTTTGAAACACTTAGCTTTGGTTTCAAAACGTAGCACTTCGCTGACTGTGAATCCATAACGAAAGAGCATCGCCAGGCGATGGACGCGGGGCTTTTTGGCATTATGCTAATGAGGTCATCGCCATCTTGGATTACAAGTGGTAGTTTTTCCCGGCCGTTTCGACTTGCACTGATCACGGTTACTAAGAAAGTAACCGTGCAGTGATTACAATACCTACCATACTTTGAAGCCAATTTCAGTGAGTAATACAACTTCATTCGCTGACATAAAACAAGTTTTATTCTTGAAATTCGACCCTGTGTTTTAGTGTTCCCACAGTTCTCACGAGTGCTCTCGTTTATTGAAACCTCACATAAATCAAGAAATAAGTACGTGTACAAAGTGTACGAAAGCATTCCTTTATTTGACCTTATCATACGATCACAAAAGCAACTTTTTAAAATCTTTTTGGGGGGAGGGTCCTCGGGTAAGCGCCCACCCCCAATTTTTCCCGATTTTGTATGTTTAGGCCCCTGGGCGCGTGCCCGGGGTAATACGGTAGTCAGAAAAGATGCTTAATGTATCATAATTGTAAGATACACAGATAATCAAAGATATTAAAAAATACAAATACAGGTAACTGTTACACATTATACATGTATAATGTCTCTTTCTTGTTGCACCTACTTCCACACATGGTTAGCTCTGAGTATATGAATCAGTTTCCTTACAGCAAAGTGTCACAGTTTTCCAAGTAGAGTTCATTTAAACAATTAGCGCAAAACCAAATATTTCAGGCATTGCTACTGTAAACAGTCAACTAGATATTTTATTTATAGCTTTGCCACTTATTGAAATAGACAAAGCGCTTGAACTTTTTTTTACCCTTTTTTGAAAACATGTTGAAAACATATTTAACTTCTCATATTTAAAGTACGATACTTACTCTATAAGTAGCTCTGAGATCAATCCAACTGTTCAGTTCGTGAGGTTTTCGTAACTGTTTTCTTTTTGTCTCATACTGAAGGCACACACCAAGATCCCAATCTGCAGATTGATCAAAACTCATCACTATTTATTTGTAATTGACAGTGTTTGAATACTGATAGTTATAGAATGGCAATAGCGATGAAGATGTTAATTATAGCCTGTATGGGTTCTGGTAAATGTGTCAGGCTTGTAGGGCTGAGGATGTTTACTAGAGCTGAGACCCAAACATACAATGAAGTATTGCATCCAAGTTGCTACTTTTAACAGTCTGAGAGTAATATGAGTTTTAGGTAGTTTTTCTGCAGCCTCATCACGAGTTTGTGTTGTCACAGTGTACGTGTGTTATGTAATCACACCTGATTCATGCTTTCAACCAGAAATTACCTACTTATCTCATTCAGTGACCATGAGAGTGACCATACATACACACAGCCACACAGGAAATGATAGCAAAGGCTGCTTAACGAAAACACAATAGTAGACCAATAAAGATGAGCTAAAAAGTAGTATTACTAGTTTTGTATTGTACCCTTAGTTTTGGGAGATCAATAAAATGAAAATTACAGTGGCACCTTGCTAAGTCCCGGGTGTCGGGATCCAAGCAAAAACCACGATCTATCGAGGGTCGCGATTTACTGAGGGTCTTCGTGAAAGAGGGGGGTCGTGCATTGAAAACATGTATAAACCCATGGGTGTATTTATAGTGTGTCTTCTTTATTAAAACACAACATGATTATTAATACACAAGTTAATTGAAAGGTTAGAAACATATTTACAAATTGTATGTCGTATCATCACATGTGTCAAGCAGTATTCAAATAAGAATCGATCATGATTATGTTTGCTGTAAACATTGCAGTGATGCATTGTTTAGTTTGTATGTGTCTGATATTATGTGGGTCGTTTGCTGTTGCTTGCGACTTTGACGGTAACAGCTTCCAAAATAAACCAGTTTCATCGCAATTATAAACTTGTTCGACGACGATCCGTGCTTTGGGTGATGGGACCAGAGAGTGGAGTTCCGGCAGACCGTTCTTTATCGACACCCCTTTTGACACCTTGAGTAAGGTCGCCGTCATTGACGGACAGTAGGTGTTAAGTTGTCTCTTTATGCAACAAAACATTAGTCGTTGTACTTCAAAAGTTGCCGTCAAGACGAAATAGAAATTTTGGGAGCCATCCAAGTACCCACGACTTAGCCGAAGCGTGACTTACCGAGGCACGACTTAGCGAGGGGTCACTGTATTTTTTTTTTAATCAAGATTAAATCTTAAACCGTTACCTGGTCAGTCAATGTAAAGTACATGAGGGCTGAACAAGATAAGTGTTAAAGCATACACAGTATACTACTCATTTAGCAACAAACTTGGAATGTACAATTCTTAAGTTGTACTAAGAGGGTTGGGCAAGGGGTATTTTCGTAAGCTGTAATCCATTTTTTTTTATTTTGCATAATAATGTAATTTAAATAAATAAAAAAACATAAAATCATAGATGGGGCAAGGTGTAAAATGTAATCAGCTATTTTATTTGTTCGTAATTTGTACAAAGATCTTATTTTTTGTAAGCATACAAAATATGTTTCACATTAAATGTCGTAATTCATACGCAATTTCCAATTTTGATTCTTAAATACAAATTACAAAATATAGTATAAAAATGTAAAAGGTAATTAGGAATTTGCTTTATCTGTAAAGAGTAAAAACCTATTTTTTACTGAAAATGGCACGTAAAGTGCCTTTTTTATTTTCTGTAATCTGTACCAGGTACCCCCCCCCCCCCCTACTAAGGTTGTGTACTGTTATTGCCAGATAATTTTTCGCTAATAATTCTACAAATTTAACTAAAGTTTCAATATTATTATCTCAGTGAATACAGACCCTATTCATAAGTCAGGCGCCCTCACAGGGGTCTCTTAGAGAATCCTTTCAGGTGAACTGGGAAAGACTTACCGATAGGTCATCATGATTTAACATAATATAACACTACTGTAAAATACCTTATTTTCGCTTGGAATTAATTTTCACTATTTTCGCTGACGAAATGATTCATTGAAAATAAAATCCATTACATTCAACTAATCAAAAATCAGTGAAAATAAATTCCATGCAAAACCTTCTAAAACGCCTTTCAGCGAAAGTTAAAATAAAGTATTTTTCAGTAAATGGATTGTATTCATACATACCTGACCAGGTAACAAATGTACACAGACTTTTGCTATTGTCTCCATGGTGATATGCAATATTCCTCTCATCTGTTAGTTTTCGGAGCCATCTCATAAACTGACTCAAACATACATGTAGTGGTATACCATCATCTACTTGTTCCTGTAAGTAAGATAGTATGTATTAACAGGTGAATGTAATTCCCAAAACTACAAACAGATGCTATGTAATTCTAATTGCACATGCCTAACCTTTACAGCAACTGGCGAGGATAGGACAGAAATATAAAAAGTCAAAAGAACAAAGACATGCAACCCGGAAGAAGTCTGCGGCATATATGAATCAGGTTTTAAAAGATAGCG